ATGAGAAAGAACAACAATGAATCTGTGAACCATCTCATAACATGGATGAAACTGGAGGACATTATGCTGAGTGAAATAAGTCAATCACAAAAGAATGAATATTATATGAGACCACTAATGTAAAAACTCACGAAAAAGTTTACAAACAAAAAGAAACAATCTTTGTTGGTTACGAGGGATGAATCCAGATTGAATCCAGTGTAGCTAGATGATGCCCGGCTACCACCAGTGACTGCTCTGACCGGGATCACAACGGAGGGTTCTGGACAGAGCTGGAGAAGGATGTAGAACAAAATTCTAACTCACAAAAAAGACCAGATTTACTGGCCTGAAGGACACTGGAGAAACCCCGAGAGTATGGCCCCAGACACCCTTTTAGCTCAGTGGTGAAGTCACTCCCGAGGTTCACTGTTCAGCCGGGGATTGCACACCCCCATAAAACAAAACGGGACTAATGAGGCACAGCAGTCCAGGGACAAGGACTAGAAGGCAGGAGGAGACAGGAAAGCTGGTAATAAGGAACCCAAGGTTGAGTAAGGACAGTGTTGACATGTAGCGGGGTTCTTAACCATGGTCATAAGGCAACATGTGTACTAACTGTTTAATGAGAAACTATTTTGTTCTGTAAACCTTCCTCTAAAGTGAGAATAGCAGTGCAACTAGATGAACGTAATCGACGTCACTGAATTGTGTATGTGGAAATTTTTGAAACGGTGTGTCTCTGGGTATGTATATTTTCACCAAAAAAAGAAAAAAAGTCCTCCAAGGCTGAGAAGGGAGCGTGTTGACATGTCATGGGGTTGTTAACCAATGTCATAAAACAATATGTGTACTGACTGCTTAATGAGAAAATATTTGTTCTGTAAACCTTCACCTATAAGTACAGTAAAAAAAAAAAAAAAAATTAAGCTGAGAGTAAAGAGAACTGGTATTTGAACAAGTTTTAAATTTTTGTTCATTGGGTGGTACAGGCAGAATTCAGTTAGGCTGTTGACCGAAGAGGTCTGCAGCTCAGAGGAGACAGCTGGGCTGGCGTGGGCTGCTTGTACTAACGACAAAGGAGGCAGAGCTACAGTGAGAAGAGGGACAGAACCAAGCCTTAGGGGCGCCAATGTTTAGAAACGCTGACTAGGATTTGTAGTAGCTCCTGCTGGGTTATGATGTGGATGTGCTGATGACTTACACGGCAAGTATATGCCTCTCCACCGTCTTCTGCATCCTCAGAAGGATGATGGGGAAGAAGAGACTAGAGAATCTAGAATGAGCCCTACAGACTTAATTTCTGCTCCAGCTCTTCTCTCCTAACTAAGGGAGCCAACGTTTAAATACAGAACTCGTGGAATTTGACATATTGGCCACTCATGTTCATTACTTATATACTAGCCTATGTCACCTCGTGGATTTTTTGTATTATTGTCATGTAATATTTTATATTTTGCTGCATTGTCTTCCTCAGACAGAATGAAAGCTCTTTGAGAATAAAAACCAAAAACCAAACCCGTTACTGTTGAGTTGATTCCAACTCACAGTGACCCTATAGGACAGTGTAGAACTGCCCCATAAGGTTTCCAAGGAGTGGCTGGTGGATTCCAACTGCCGACCTTTTGGTCAGCAGCTCTTAACCACTGCGCCACCAGGGCCCCTCTTGGAGGATAGGAGCCAAAACTTGAGCTTCTTTGCTTCTGCCCTTTCTCTCTAGGCCTATCATCCAGCGGAGCTTCCAGTAGGTGCAGGATATTTGCTCTGATTGATTATAAAAAAGATAGTGGCCTTCTAGGTAATCATTTATCACGCTTTTGCAAATTGCAAAAATAGTCAAAGCGAGATATAGTTATTTAAACTTGCAATGTGCCTTTTAAAGCATCACAAGTGGAAATAATGGTATTTTTAAAAGACTCCAACAAATCACAGTTCGTGGCAATGAGTTTCCCAGATAAAGGAAGAGCTGGGCACCGTAATGGATTTCAGAAAAAGAGGGGCCGGGCAAGTGAGACTCCGTGCGGCGCGGTTGTTGCTTGCAGTACTATTTATGGCTCATTGACACCACCCTGATGGGGTTAAGTATTTAGATTCAGCCTGATCCTCCCCTCTGACTCTGCAGCCTCCAGCAACTAGCTAGAGACGCTGGAAAGAGGGAAAGCCCTCCTTCCAGGGGTCCTGGGGAGGGGCACACGAGCCCCCCTTCCCCCATGTGTCAGAGGAGAGCTTCCCTCTGAGAGTTTCCAGCAGCCTGACCCCGAGCCAAAATCAGGTGGCTTCTTACTCCATAAAAAGGGCAAGTGAATTCATTATTAGTATATTATTATCCAATGTATAATATATAATAGCGATTATGCTGTCAGCAGCCAGAGTCTCTGACCACAGATCAGAGGCGGGGGTGACATAAATCCACCACGTGAAGTCTTTGGAGGTTCCCAAGTGAAGGTGAGAGGCTTCAGCCCTCTCTGTAACAGGGAACATCAGGGAGGAATTTGGGCCGCTTTGGAGGGTGAGGCTGGGGGTACTGGGAGGATCTGGTCAAATAGTAGTTAGTGTGTTTGGGAGGTGATATAAAAGAGATCCCAGTGGCTCCTCCTTAGCGTGGAACGTTAACAGCTCTCACCCTTGCCCGTGACTGAGGTAGGTGCGGAGTGATTTAGAGACTCGGACAGAGCTAAGGGGCACTTCTTGGGTCACATTCTTTCCAGAAAGCCTGGCCTGCCTGGGTTTCCCTCTCTGCTTTCCCTGCTTACAGCAGTGCCTTTGTCTGGGCGGCATCCAGGCCCCCTGCCTGATCTGGGGTCAGAGGATCAATCGCTGCCTGACTGTGGCTGAAACGGCTCCTCTGCGGGCAGAGGGGAGCCGACTTCAAGGGGCAGAAGGGGTTCTCTGTCCTTTTATGCAGAGGGGCACGTGCTAAGTTGTGGAAGCAGGCAAGCCTGCGTCTGTAGGTGGCTGTGTGCCTACACCTGGCACATAATCGGGCTGGAATCTTTGCTGGATGAATGAAGATACCTGCCTGCTTTGGTCTTCTTCTGTAGGAATATAACCAAACAGGAGTTCCTACAAATCCTCACTTAGATGAGGAGCCGATTTCACCCCCCAGGGTAGATGAAGCCACCCTACCAGGCCCGGGCTGAAGTCGCCCAGCTCTTCTCTCCCTTTATATCACAACACCCCAACCCCCAGGACTCTGGGAACTCACTGGGTTTATCAAGGACTTTTTAGAATGAAAATAGCAGTAGCTTGAACAGGCTTGCCTGATATTTGCAAAGAGGTGATTTACTGACAAAGCCTCTACACCCTTTCATCTCTCCCCTACCCCATTTCACTCTCTCTCCCCTTCGGTGAACCAAACGCCCCAGGAAGCCCACAGCAGAAAAAAGCTCTTGAGAATTGGAATAACTAACCAGAGTGTCATCTGAGCACCTTTTCTGGGGCCAGGGTAATGAGAATTATTCAAATGCAATCATAAAATGAGGCCAGGCAGGCGGGAATGGGGGGAGGAGTGGGGGTGGAGGGAAAGCTTCCTTGCTGGTTTTGAGTCTCATAATTTCTGGGGAGTTCTCTTGGGGTCCACAGAAAATTTCACCTCATCTCTGGCCTCTCAGCACAAGATGTCTTGAAACCCTGCCTCAATTGTTTGCGGAGTGGAGAACAGTGCTCCTGAGTCACTTGGGGGGTCCGCTGCCCTCCTCCCCCGGAGGCAACCCCCCCATTCTGAGGCATTTCCTCCGCGTGGTTCAGCCTCCCCGCCAGCAGGAGCAGGCCGGCGTCCCACGTCTCAGCCGAGCTGCCGGTAGAGGGAGACACTCCAGCAGCGCCTCCGACTTGGACGCGGCTGGGGCCGGGAGTGGGTGGGGGTAATGGGGGGTGGGGAGGAAAGGGGGAGTGGGAGAGGGGAGGTGTGTGAGGGGGGGGGCTCCGGGGGCGGGTCCCTGTGCCGCTGACGTCCCGAGCAGTGCTGGGAAGTATAGGCTGTGTTGTCACGCCGGTGTCAGTCTGATGAAGATTGGCATCAGGTAAGCTGTCATTCATTTCCATGTCAGAGACGCTTTTGCAGGCGGCGGCGGCGGCGGCTGCTGCTGCGGGCGGCTGCCTCAGAGCGCGTGTGTTTTATTCCAGTCCCCAAGCCAGAGTATTATTCATTGCGACAGGGCAAGGAGGAGAGAGGGAGGCAGCAGGGAGGAGAGAGGGAGGCTGCAGGGAGGAGGGAGGCAGGGAGCAGAGAGAGACAGCGGAAGCGTGCCGAGAGAAGCTGGGGGAAGCGCCGGGAGAGCGCGGAGCCGGGCAGCGCGAGTCGCGGCGAGGCCGGGGGAAGGAGGCGGCCGGAGC